ATGAAAATTGAATTATTTTAATTTGACTCGAATGGCAACTCGAATTTTATTCACAAACTAAGTAATGACCGTGTCGATTGACGATTAGTTTGTGTGATGATTTTGCCTAGATCGCATGGCTTTATATACCATTCAGCGCCAGAGACACGCATTTTTTGATCTATTTTTGCGTAAGTACAATTGGCGCGATTACAACAAGAGTTTATTGAACATTGTTTTTGATGCGTAGATTACGTTCGTCAGCACATTTTTTCTGGCCCATATTCTAAAGGGTTTGTGAACACGCGCCACCAATTAGTATACAAAGGACGTAATTAACCGATAACTTACTATATTTTATCAATACGATCTGTGCTGATTGTAAACTTGACAAAGTTGCCAAAAAAATCAATTTGAATGGTCCGCATGAAAATAAAAATCGCGAAAAACTTCAGTTTTATGATAGGAAACATGTACTCGTGCTGAAGGACTTTTTCAATTCCGTGAATGGGGAAATTCACTAACAATTTCAAGTTCGAGTTTTCGAGTGCAAGTGTCTGTGATCGCCTCATGATTCTTTCATGTGGGGTCATTTTTTAAACAATCATTTTATTGTGCATTGTTTATATACGCCTAAAATAAATCAATCTCGAAGCAACCGTTGTTTCAGTTTCTTATGGATGAAAATTTACGACGCTACACACAACTCACGCACACAAAGATGTTTGGGAATTCTGAGAAATCCAATTTGATTAAGATGAAAATGAATTTCGCCTTTTACATCGCTTTTTATTTATAAATATGTTTTTAATATCCAGAAGGTTTTACTGATGTGCAATAGTTATTAGAATGGAAAATAACAGACAAATCATTGATTCTTGACCTGATCAAACCAATCCCCGTGACAAGAGTGTAAAATTGCCAATTTTCATAGATATAGTTACATTAATTATATAGTTTCATTAATTCGATGTACCATCACTGTTCGAGTTACTCGCCTTTTCAATCATTTCTATTATATTAATCTATAAATAGCTTCATTCATTCGCAACAATTCATAGACATGTGTCAATATTTCAGTCATGGAACAGTATATTCACCTGATGTCAAGGCTAATACTGTTTATTTAACCATTGACTTTGTAGCCTTGACTTTAGAAATTCATAGCGACCAATTCATTTCATAGCAACCGCCGCTTATGTACGATTAGCCTGTGGATTCACGATCAATAACACAAGCAACCAGTGGCTCAGATATTGATTTTGGTAACCATAGAAATGGGTGATCCGTGCAATTGGTGTATTTCCGAAGCCAAGCCGATCAATGAACATCAACAGGTGGCAGAACACCATCACACATGCAGAATTTTCGATATCCCGTTTGATCGATTGTTGTTGTGGCGACAAAAATCTACGCATCGAAAATTTTTCTACTTCGCCTCAGACGAGAAATTCCATTGCAAGTGAATGCATTGGAAATTTACATCGAAAAATTCTTGAAATAAAATCAGTAAAAAATTGTTTATAATTCGACTTTGTTTCATAGTTAAAGTGTTGTTCAACAATCAAATTGGAATGGACAAATTTTATCAAGTAGAATCAAATATTGTGAAAATTGGAGATGTTTGTTCTAAAGCAACGATTTGGGAATGTATCTAGTGGCGAAAACTCCGAGGAAGATGAGTCCGAAGGCGACATTTTACAAGTAAAACGATTGTGTTTCAACTGAAAAATGATGAAGAAGACAAAGAAACAACGAAAAATTGTCTTTGTCAAAGCTCTGTGTTTCATAAATGTAGATTTTCCTTTCTGTTACTCGGGTAGTTAGTTGATATCATAGATTTTGCCCATTTTTTCCCAAAAATATTTTGTAGAAAACTACGAGTATATTTTACTGTTGTTGTTGTTCCTACATATTGTAACTGCATGCATGTATCAACATGGATTTATTAAACTCTTTGACTTTTCTCTTCAAATTTATAAAATATTTCATTTTACTGTTAAGGAATTTCTTCCATCTTGGCTATCGATTTAACAGTGAATCAGAAAAGTTTTGTTGTCATCGATACGCTTGACAGATACTATTCACTATATTCCGTAAACCGTAGCTTTTATACTCCTTACTTTGCATGGAACTCAAAATATATTGCATGTTGTTTGTTTGTCATCGTTTTGACTTCACTATTTTGAGGAATGTAGATCTAGATACTTTCTACAGATGTAACCTATTTTTAAATGATAGTTTGTTTAAGAGGCTTTTTATTTCTACAGTTGTGTACAAAGTGCATAGATTACACATGGTGAATCAGGTTGCACTTGATAATTTATGATATTGCTATAAATGAAAATACTTGGGATTTTTTTATTCAATTTTTTTCGTTTTGTTAAGAAAATTCTAAGTTAATCATACAAAATGTTTGTTTAAATGACGTTGACCAAAAAAAATGGTCGAAATTGTGATTGACTTTATAATGACGGTAATGACGCCAATGGTCAATCCAATCCAATCCAATCCAATCCAATATTATTTAAATCTCACAATGAAGATGTGATTGCTTAGATTCCAGTGTTGGCAGAGATCCAATCGCGTGCAGCTAAAACGCGGGAGTATACGCCTGGGTAGTTAGGTTGGGCACAACCGTAACCTATATAGTGTTAAATTTGAATTTAGAAAATTTGCTTCATATAAATGAAGATCATTTCAAGAAAACCAAATATTTACCCCATGAAACGATTCCGACCAAACGTGGTGTTCCGTCGTCTGGGCTGTATGCGACGAGTGGACCGCCCGAATCACCTGTGAATTTTGTTTGAATATTCACTCGTTTATTCAAATTATTATATTTATTCTCATAAACACTTACCTTGGCAAGCGTCTTTTCCTCCTTCTTCGTAGAAACCAGCGCAAATCATACGTGGAGTGATGGGAGAAAAGGATGTATATGCCTCGTTGCATTTCTTCTGGTTGACAAGTGGAACTTCAGCTAAATAAATCACAATGATAATATTTATAAATGAAAAATGTCT